GTCGGTCGCCAATTCCGCGGCGGTGGTTGTTCGCTCGTCCAGTCGTGTGTCGAGGTTGAGGAGGAACCGATTAGTCACCGCACACCGTGCTGCTTCGAACTGCAATTCCCGTCGGTTGAATTGCTTCTGTTTCGGTTTAGTCCGGACTGCACGGTTGTGGGCAAGCCTGCCACCGAGGTTGACGGTGGCTACTTCCACACTGTGGTCTGAGTCTGCTTTGACTGGGCGAACCGGCTGGGGGATGACGACCACGTTAGATACTCTGCCGTGATGTGCCTGCCTTGTCAGCATGTAGTCAAGGCGATTGCAATCGTTTCCCGACACACCGTTGTATGTGTGCCATGTTCCGCCCTTGCGTGTCTCAAAGAACGTGTTCGTGAGAGCTAGCCTGTTTTCCGTTGCNACGGTGGCCTGCCAACAGAAACCTCATGGCCGTAAGGCGTTCGTTGATAAACTCTGGAGTGAACGTGGATGTCTTTCACAGTGACTCTTTGACGGCTATCCCCGCATTATGGACTCCATCAGTCTCCGTGCCACAGCAGAACACCCGGAAACCCGCTGCTGCAATTTCCGTTCGACCTGCTTTCCGTGTCTCCTGCATTCCTTCCACCCATACGTCTTGTCTCGCTGCCTCGTGTAGAACGCTGTAAGCTCGCCCGTATCCATTGGTTCCGTTTACAGCCAAAGTCCACACGTTCCAGGTTGCTACCCTAAGATGTTGACCCTGCTGTCTCTTTCGCGCTGCGCGCGCTGCTCTCTAAGCTAGCGTACGCGCCGCCCGACCCCTCCTTTTCCTCCATCTTCCCCTCTTTTTTTGTTTTTTACTATTTTCTTGCGAACACTCGAGCTAACGTGATAGTTACCCCGGTTCTTGCCTTGTTTCCCATAGAGTTGTCTTCTTGTCCCGGAGCGGTGTGGCCCTCCATCGCTGGACTCTCTCCTTTCCTCTCTGGGGCATACCCCCACGGCGTGCGGCCACTCCGCCACCCTCACCGTGCTCTTTGCTGCTGCATAGCCCCGGTGTTCAAGCCGATGCGTCAGGATCCAGTCTCATTTTGCAGCTACCAAAGCTGGCGGCTCAGGAGCTACCCCGATCTCACGATAGCAGTAACTCCCAACCGCCAAACTCAGGATCCCCCTCTCAACAGTGCTAGGGACCGTATATCCGTCGTTGCTGGGTGGTCTTTCGAGGTCTAGATCCACTTGCGGAACCTCGGCCTACCCCAGGGACAGCGGATTAGAGATGTCGAATCGTGCCGTGGGACGGTTGCTGCAGCGCCTTGGCTTGAAGCGCCGTAGGGGTAGGATCATTATACCTCCGTTGAACGAGGAGAGGAAAAACCGCATCCGCCTTTTTCTTGTTAGATGGACCTCGCGACGAGGGCCGAGGACGCTGGGGTCGCAGTCATTGTGTACATGGATATGAGCTTTGTTCACCAGGCGCATGGTTCCGCGTACTCGTACTTTCCTTCTGACGATACGGGGGTTGTGCAGGATGGGATAGGCCGTACAACGGGGAAAGGTTTGCGAATGATCATGGTGCATGCGATCACGAAGCACGGGCCCTTGGCCGAGCTACAGGAGGGATTTCATATCCGTGAGGGTTCGTTCAAGCCTCAGGATGATCGTGCGAAGAAGATTAAGCCTGGGGAGGCGGGTTTCGAATGTCAGATGAGCCGACAGCAGAATTTCTGTGGCAGGCCAAGTTGGCAACTGGAGATTATCGTAACGCCATGACGGATGGGATGCTCATGCAGTGGCTAAAGCACCGACTTACCCCGACCTTCGATGCGCAGTTCAAGAACAAGAAGATGTTTCTCGTTCTCGATAACGCCTCATACCACCACTGCTTTGACGAGGAGCTCAAGGTGCCCGAAACCAACAGTAAGAAGTTCAACGTCGAACTCTTTTTTAAGAACGGTTGCACATCGTTCAAGGTGACGCTTGAGTCGGAAGGTAAGGCTGCTGAGTACAACTTTGAGGTCCCGGAGCAGAGGTCGCTACCCAATGCGAACCGCACGAACGGCGTCAGCAAAGAAGAGATAGCCTACGTCACTCGGACGTACTTCAAAAAAAAATTCCCACAAAAGCTCGAGGAAAAGGCTGAGACGTACATGAGGGAGAAGGGGTGGGGGTTAATTTGGACACCGCCGTACATGCCGACTTTCCAGCCGATCGAGCTGTTCTGGCAGCACGGCAAGCATTACGTGAGCATTCATTTTGAGAAGGGGCGGAACATGTTGGATGTCTGGAGGCAAATCCGTCTCGGTTGGTATGGAGACCCGGAATGAGACGGTCAGGAGGGGGGGTGGAAGGCAGCCAACTGTGGAAAGTTGGTAGAGCATGCTATTGGCAAGATGAACGAGCGGATCGGCCTGCATGGTGGAAACCTGAGCGGTACGATCGGCAGCCTCGAGTATCCAGTGGCAGAGTACCATAAGGCTACGACCGAGGATGAGATAGAGGATGGGGTGGAGGAGCAGACGGATGAGTGGATGGGTGGGGCGCGGAAGATGTCATTGAGGGCTGAGAAACGATGCAAAAAAAAAGGTCCTTTTTTGGGCCAATATTTTTCGACTTATATTCACGAACAGCGACACAAAGGGGGCTGCACAGAAGGCGCCATTCTGAGTGCAAGCTGACTTATCGTTTGATATGTCGCAATTGAGATGGCTGTATCAACCTGTATTATACATGGATCACTGGCGCAAGCCCTGGGGCCGCATCGCTTGAACACCGCGCTTCAATATTTTTGGAACATCGCCGGGTACGATCACACACTAATTTAGTGATATTGCACGAAGACATTGTGCATTTTTCTTTTTTTATAGCTAAATTTGTATTCCAATTTGGTCTTGACTACTGTTCCACCGTAAAAAAATAGCTCATGAGGGGGACCCCCGAAGACGAATTCCGTCCGGAACCTGCATCGCTAAATCAAGCTGTGACTAAGGGTCAAATGCCGTTTCTTCCCACGTCCAACCTCAAATCCCCATGTTTGTTTAGTAGCAACAGCATCTACGCAGTCCCTTCCGAGGAACTGGAAATCTGTGAAGGTCTGCTTGCTGTACATGGGCAACCTTGTCGTGGTTATTTCTTTGTTGTCAACGTTCAGCTGTGGTAACAGGTTGTTTGTTCTTACTTCCTGTGTACCGCGGTTTTGTGTACAGCGTGTAATTCGTACTTGTACAGCAGTAGTTTCAGGGGTTATCATTGGTAGCGCTCATTGAGGCGGACATAGGATGCAGGCTTGTATGGTATCAATGTGTGGTACATCGTTGAGGCAGGCCAACGCAGTTGCTGACGTTTTGCGCTCCTGTATGTTCTTCGGGCCCCTTTCCTCCTCTTGCTCCATCCGTGCACCCGGTAGTCTCGCTCAGCATTGCGTGAGTATCCTATCGGCACCGTGGCGCTGGCGGGAAGCCGGCCGCAAGTCGAGCCTCATTTAACAAGCCGGTTCATCTTTAGGTGGGTCATATACATAGAGCAGCAACAGGTGGCCTCATGCAGTCCAAACTGCGATACAAGTCTACGGATACACGTGATACTGTTGAGGGATACACGTGCATGTGTGCTGCTGGGAGCGACATACGTGCTACTCAAGTGTTTTTGTGGAGTTTCTGCATTTTGTGTACGAAACATATCGACGGGACAACGGCCGAACACACCTTTTCCAACTGCCAGTGGTCCAACCATGGTCCTACAAAAGGCCGTAGAGAAGTTTGACTCTTGGTATGTTCGCGTTTGCCTTTTGCCCTCTGAAATTGCTGAATCGCAAAGCACATGGCATGTTCTCGCTTTGGATGACAGGTGTTTATACAGCCGAGCGCTGGACATCAAGACGGGGTCGAAGGCTGATTTGGCGGTTCCTCTCTGTCGAACAGCTTGTCAACCCATGGGGTGCCAGGGCAGTGTTTGAAGACGTGGTGTTAATCCTGCCCGATGCAACAACGGTTCAATGCAAACCCCTCGGTGATCATTGGCAGCCATCTTGCATCGCTGCAGAGAACTGTTGTGACGACCGGAAGATGTAAGATCTAAACGCTTGATTTATGCGCAGGCAACTTCGGAGATCTAGGGTTCGTTTGCCGTTGCTCTTTTATTTCAGCGAGTGCCTATTCGGCTAGCAACCGCTGTTCTTTCCCGTTGGAAGTTGGAACCGCCTTGTGTATTGGTTACAGCGGTAGCAGTCGGTGACTGAGGTAGTGATTATGGGCGGTTTGGTGGGGACGGGGGCGTCCATGCCGGATGCGAAAGTGGGGATGGGGGCGGTGGAAGTACCATCCGTGCCATGGAGGCTGACAAGTGTCAATTTTTCGGGGGAGTGTGCAAACAACAGTGCATGGCAGCATGGCAGCAGTACGTAGCAGTTATGGGAGAGGGGTATTGCTCAAGTTCCAAATCTGTTTTGCCCAAACCGGTTCTGGGGGTAAACGGCAACGAACGGCCGTTGCTCGCCCTGATCGGAGTGTGGTGCAGGTGTACAGAACTATGCACAGACCTGATGCTACCGTGTGATTCGTAGAGACTTCAATGTAGAAGCGCACATGGGTTGCAAAAAAAAAGTATTGGATGTACACGCATGGGTCCTTGTCGTAGTATTACCAACGTAGAGCAAAACATAACTTTGAAGTCGAGCTCGAGCTTGATTTGAAAGAGATACACGTACAACAGACGCTTCAAAGAAAAAAAAAGGGTGGTACCTTCCGCACAAACATCAAAGCCTCTTGATTGGTGCACTCCCTCGGGCGGGTTACACGTACATTCCGATGAACAATTATTAGCCCTCCTCGCAAAGTGCCAGGGAATGCAGAGCAAAAAATGCTTTTGAAATCGAGCTCGATTCGAGCGAGATACAGCCAAAACAACAGAGGGTAAACACGAGAAAAATAAAGGCTTCAGCCAAAACGCCTGTTCATATCTTTTTCGCGCTTAGCGCGAAGTCCATAACTCGTTCCCGGGTCGCCCTACCCATGGTCGCTGAGCCTTTTTCTCCACTCCCACGATCCCCACACAAAGTGAGAGTACAAATGAAGAAACCTGAAAAAATACAGCTTCAAACTTCAAACAAGTTGTTTGTGCGCCACCTGCTTTGTCGCCCGGATGATCATTGCACGAAGCACCCTTGACATGAAATCAGCAGGCGAGCCGGCACAGGCAAAAATATTATTGTGAACGTGGGTCCCACAGGGAGCAGTTTTCATCGAAATTTTGCAATAAGGTGTCACCCTCACACCCACCCTCCTCGTCACCTCCGCTCCCGACCGCCTCCATGCATCACCCGCCTACACGTCCTGTCCAATCACAAACGCATCATCAGGCATGCTTTACAAAGAAAAAAAATGTATCAACCATAGACTGAAACAATAGTAGAGGTCCCTGTTTAGTGCAAGTTGCCGCCGGTGTATGTATGTAGTGCCGGTGTTTTCGACTCGCACACACTGCACTACCAAGTCGTTCTGCACTTTGAGTAGTGCCGGTGAAATTTCGACGCACACCCCGGCACTAAACAAGGACCTCTACTGTATTGTATGCCGTTGAGCAGCAGAGAGACTTTTGCTTGGTCATCGCAACGCAAAGCATTTCTTCGACTTTGCTTGCAAAATACACATACATGAAGGGAAGCTTACAGAAGGCGCGTGATTGATTGTGTTATATTTTCTACTGAGGGCGCCACCACTCAGAACTTGAGTAGAGAAAATTCAGTCCCAAAAAGGAGATAAATTAGAACTTGACAAAGAGCAGGCGCTTACCAGGTACGATTTCGTCAGTAGACTAATAGAACCCGAAAGAAAATTAACAAAATAACAACCCTTCGTTGAGTATGTTGTTGTTGTTGTTGTTGTTGTTGACTTCACATTAAACCGTATGCCAGTTGCTAAATGCCAAAATCTAGCAAAGACTCTCGGCCCGTGGTCACGAAAGTGCTGGAGCCATCTGAGGATCTAAAGAACACGCACACGTAGCAAGAAAAAGGTGTACAAGAGCCCGAAGAGGTACTACTACACCTATATATAATCCCTGCAGCACCGTACGCGTGCCCAAAACTGAACTACACGTCCGTCTCACCGTTCGACTACAGCAACATCACCCCCTACCTGTCCCACTCTGTACCAAAACGAATGATTGCCGACTACAGCATACTTGCTGTCTGAAGTGCTGTCTGTACAAAAACACCATGGTAGGCATGGAACAAGAAGCTGGCGGGGCACAAAGCTGCTGTCTGAAGTGCTGTCAGAATGTGTCTGCGGACGTACAGTGAAAAAGAACAACCAACCAAAGCCATGATTGCAATGGACAATCACCCGAATCTCTCCCGATCGTCTGTGTAGGCACTGCAGTGAAAAATATCGACACTAGCTAAGAATCGTTCCACATTGAAGGGGTCTTCCACGATCAGGCACATAACCAAGGCACCCGGGTTAGCCACGCCATCTCTGACGGGTCTCTCTACAAAACCAGTGACGACGTCATCACATAGAACCAACACCGAAAATCAGGAAAAAAACGAGAAAAATTGACAACACAGATCAGATATAAATGTTTGTCCGTGCGCCACGGGTCGATGTCGCCCGCATGCTCCGGTGCCGCTGCTCCGTCCGGCGCCGCTGTAGTCAGCCCGAGCATAACGCCACTCGACCTGCTCCGTCCGTACACGCTCTCGTTGCTGTCCTTCCCAGTCGGTTCCTCGCTTTCTCCCTCCTTGCACTCAAGGTTCTTGGTCTGAAAAATAAAAATTCTCGCGCCGAAGGGGTCAACCAGCCCAGTTCAGCTCGTCGCCACCTGCTCCCTCCTCCTTTGATGGCGAAGCCAGGTTACTGAGGCAATGCAGCGCCCTCTAGCCAACCTAGGGCCGTGTACATAGTTCCCGTCCACCTTCTGACGGTGTCTGCCTCCGCGCACAAAAAATGAGATGGGCATCGCTGCCTACGCCGACGGCCAGAGGCCCGCGCATCTACATTTTTTCGCCTGACCCCATCAGTGCCGACCCAACTACACCACCACGCGCATGCCTCGCGGCGGATATGCGCAGCAGCAGCAAAAAGGTTTCGGTCATCCCTTGAGGGTGAGTCTAGCCCTGCTCGCCAGAAAGACCCACCCCTTCACTACAACCCATGTCTAAGCAAAAGCTTGTCGAGGAGCGAGGGGAAGAAGGGAGAATATGTAAGTAGAAAGGCAGTGGATACCGGGTTACCCAAAAGCGAAAAAAAGCGAACGATTCCTCGCATCTACACAAACCCAGAGGGTGGTAGCTTCTGTATTTCAACTCAAGGTTTACTCCAAATTTGACCAAATCGCTCAGAAAAAGCGACTACACGTCACGTACAAAGTACTTGAAGTCAGAAAGTAGACTAGTATGCAAGTATGCAGAGACTACGCGTTGGTGCCCATTTTTACACCCCAGACCGGCTCATAGTTGGGATCGGCCGCACGGCCGCCGAAGCCGACGTTCAATCGAATGAACCCGAATCCAGTCTAAATCGCAGTTTTCAGCTGAAATATACGTTCACCTCCAAGTTGATACCTAGTGAGCTTGTCGCATACGAGACCTTTGGGCCCAAGATCTTCATTCAACATTTCACGAAACCGCTACGAATTGGTTCGCAACCTTTTCATCGCGACCAGGTTTCAGCAGTTACTCCCTCTCGAGTGCACTGTGAAACGAAGGACACGGGGGCCAAGCACCCTTTCACAGAGTTTTGAAATCGATCTATGCATCGAAGGTTTGGGGCTACCAACATGGTACGAAATTCGAAACTTCAGCCCATTTTACGGGGTCAACACGCTCGACTGTTCGTATTTGAAAAAAATATTGCGGGAACAAAAAACAACATTCAGCTTCCTCCGAGAGTCAATAGATAGATCCAATCCTCGGCAGAAGATTCTGTTCTATAACCACGCGGGAATATGAGGAGGTCTCCAACGTACCCACAACACAGCAGTAGTAAATAGCACGCTCTCGCCCGCAACACGCCTCCTTGGCCTAGCTGCTAGAAACTCATGCACAATAATCTTCAACATCGACGAAGATATCACCGATATCCTAAGGCTATTGCGCAACAATCTTTAAAGAAAAATCAAGGCAGTTGTACCCATGCGTTAGCGCCCCCTGGCTGATTACATCGACGCTGTCCTCTAAGAAGAGGTGAAACGTTTCCGCCGTGATTCCTCCGCTGGCTTCAAGGATAACATGCGGAAATTCGCCCTTCAGCCTTCGAGACACGGACTTCAGTTCTTCTGGCTCAAAATTGTCGAGCATGATGATGTCTGCGCCCGCTCTGGCGGCTTCAGCAGCCTGTCCGTAGTTGCTGGTTTCGACCTGTCATAAGCACACAACTGTCAGGTTTACACATACCAAGGTATTTACCATGCTTGCTTTTGTCAGCAACTTGCGATGTCATCCTACAGGACTCTGTTGCAGCGGGGATTTGCTGTGTGGGTCAGAGTGATGATCTACACTGCTCTCCTGGTGAAGACTGGCCCTGTCACTGGCATGTTGTATGAAAATTCAGCTATTGAATCGATGGGAACCCAGAGTCACACGGTTAGTAACTTGCTCATTTTTTCAGCACCCTCTCAAATCACCTCCTGTCTTCAATCTAACGCTATTTCCTACTCGCGACTGGGGGCCTCTTGTTTTCTATGCTGTCTTCCTGACCTCGGGAATCATCCAGCAGAAGGTAGTATTATACTCTCAAAGCGATTCTGCGGGTATTGTTGTAGCTTCTATATTTCAACTTCGCCATCGTCGAACACCGTGGCACCTAAGTTCCTCATGTTGGCACTCCGACGTCGGAACAAGGGCATACACACCAAAGCCCATCTCAAGCGTCTGGTGTCTAACAGCAGCGACAGCATGGCATTGCAGCCGATAGGTCAATTTCCGCACTTGAAGATGCTGTGTTCTTCTTGACAGGCCTAAATACGGAAACCAAACGTCTACGAAGGCTCAGCCTAGAATAACTGCCATGGTTCCACGTTTGCGATCTCGCCGATGTCCGTTCTACATTAACTCCCGGACAGCCGTTACACTGACACCCAGAGAGCTGGACACCAGCAGAAACGTGTAGCTCTGTGGGTATGCCTGGAATCTGTGCACGAAAGAAGTAGCTGGGTTTTGAGAGGGACGACAGAACAATGGACGCATCCGAGGAAAGGGTTAAGGGCGTATCTTTGCCGCGGACCTAAAACTTGCAAACTGGTCTCGAATCTCAAGAACATTGCGTGACAGCGTTGACTAAAACTGCACCGTGTCCGTAACTGCTCCAACGACTAATCCGCCGCCCCACCAACAGGATCCCGGTGGGTAGTTATATTAAGCTTTGTTTTGAACTCCGCCGCTATCTCAACAGTTGCTCGATCGTCTTTGGTCCTTCAGCTTTCGTCTCCAGCCATGTGGTTAACAAATCGTTCCTCTACATGAGCAACAGCGGGGCATTCGAGAAGTGATATTGGCGGCAGGTTAACCTCCCAACTCCTAGCCAAAATAATAACCAGATGCAAGTGACAAGTAGTGATGGCTTCCAGCGCGAGTACGTGTCGTCACCTCGATCTTCATGGAGAACCCAGCCGCCCGCCTCGCGACCTCCACAGCT